CACACACAGCACCCCCAGACACACACAGCGCACCCAGACACACACAGCACCCTCACTCACACACAGCACCCTCAGACAGACAGCACCCTCCAGACACGCACAGCAGCACCCCAGGCAGCACAGACCCTCAGACCAGTGGCACCCTCCAATTTGTGCCCTCACTCCCACACATATACAGCACACACACATATATATATTATATATTATATAAAATAACCCTCAGTGAGTTAACAGACAAAGAAAATTAGAAACCTAGAATGTGACGGCAGATAAAAACACCCTCACACACAGCACCCCTCTTACACAAACACACTGCGCACCTCACACATACAATACGTCCAAATATATATACACACTACAGCACCTCTCACACTGCACCACTACACACATTACGCTCCAGATACACGCTAGATCCCTTACCCTATGTGCACTCTTAATCCTCCACACACACAAACACACACACTCTTCTATACACACTCTGGGTCCCATACACACTAGATCTCTTACACACACACACTGCACCACCTACACACACTACATTCCTTGTAAGAAAACACATACAACATTCTCTAAACACACCCTCTCTACAACCCCTACACACACTACGTCACATATACACACACTACTGCCCATATGCACACACTCGCTACATCCCTTAAAACACTATGCCCCTATACACGCACTCTCTACAGCCCCTAGCCACACATATTACACCACAAAATTGACCTATTTACACAATACCACACCACACTCTACACACAGGCAATCCCACAAGCAGGCGCCAAACACATGCACCATACACTTTCCTGGCCCTTTTGTCCTCTGGTATCCCACTTGTGGAGACACCAGAGACAATTTGAAAGCAAACACAGCGCAAGCATGTTATTACATTTGCTTGCGCTGCGCAGAACAAATACAGGGCCTTTTTCTAATGCTAGAGCTCTTCAGCGGGGCTCTGCGCATTGAACCAACATGCTCACTTTCATCGGGGGCGTACTTGTCATTTGTGATGACAAAACACATCCTCTCTGGCCCGCACCTTCTTGGGGGGCCGCTCTAATTGAAAAATGCCCGGGCCTAATTTTTTTTCCCAGTCCGGCCCTGCCCTCCACCATTCTAGACTGATTCGCACGTGCTACAGCAGAAGAGGTTTCTGCTCTGCTCCGGTCCTCCCGCCCCACCACTTGTTCCCTCGATCCTATTCCCTCATATTTTATCCGCACATTGTCTCCCTCTCTTGCTCTTCCTCTCACTAAAATTTTCAATCTCTCGCTTTCCTCTGGCACATTTCCATCACCCTTCAAACATGCAACTCTAAACCCAATTCTGAAAAAGCCCAGCCTTGACCCCAACTCCCCATCCAACTACCGCCCCATCTCTCTACTGCAGTTTGCCTCCAAGATCCTCGAGAGAGTTGTGTACACCAGACTGGCTGACTTTCTCGAATCCAACTCTCTGCTTGACCCCCTTCGGTCTGGATTTTGGCTGATCATTCTGTCGAAACGGCTGTGACCAAAGTATCCAACGATTTAATTGCTGCTAAATCTCGCGGCCATTACTCTATCCCAATTCTCCTTGATCTTTCTGCTGCCTTTGACACTGTTGATCATCAACAGCTTCTCTGCATTCTCCATAATTTTGGTCTATGGGATACTGCTCTCTCCCGGTGCTCCTCCTACCTCTCCTAGCGCTCTTTCAGTGTTTCTTTCTCTGACTCTGCCTCTATCCCCCAACCACTCTCTGTCGGCGTCCCCCAAGGTTCTGTCCTTTTTCCCCTACTGTTCTCTATCTATACCGCCTCCCTTGGTAAACTCATCAGCTCTTTTGGCTTCCGTTATCATTTCTATGCAGATGACACACAAATCTACCTGTCCTCTCCTGATCTCGGTGCTCCCATCACCTCTACTTCGCAGGCTCGCTGCCTGGGTGTTCTTTTTGACTCCATCCTCTCCTTTACCCCTCATGTCCAATCAATCACCAAATCCTGTTGCTTCTATCTCAAAAACAGTTCGCATCCGCCCCTATTTAACGCCAGATGTGGCATCCAACCCTATTTAACGCCATGCTGTTTTCTCTCTCGCCTTGACTACTGCAATCCCCTTCTCAGTGGTCTTATGTGTTCCCAGATTGCACCGCTGCAATCTATAATGAATGCGGCGGCGAGGCTCATTTTCCTGTCCGTTCGCACCTCCCATGCCTCCCCGCTCTGTCAGTCCCTGCATAGGCTTCCAGTTAGATATAGGGCTCAATTTAAAATTCTGGTGCTTGCTTACAAGGGGAAAAAAAGGATTTTTTTTTTTTAATTACATGTCTGTTAGTCCTCCCATTGTACAGCGCTACGGAATCTGATGGTGCTATATAAATAATAAAATAATAATAATATAGTTATATATATATATATATATATATATAATTAACCCCTTAACGCCGTTACAGCGTTCTATGCCGTCGCGGCTTTAAAGCCGTTGCAGCGGCATAGAACGCTGTAACGGCTGCAGCCCCCAGGACCTCGGCGGTACTTACCTCCGCCACGATCCTCTTCTGGAGGGCTGCCTGACAGCACACGCAGCCTTCCTCCGGCAAGTGAGGCCCCCGGGGGCCATGTGATCGCTCTCAAAGAACGATCACATGGCCCCCTATAGCTGACTGTGGATCTGCCAGCAGGGGGACTGTCTGAAATATCAGACAGTCCCCCTGCTGGTGGAAAGTGTAAAAAAAAAAAATTAGACGTGTAAAAATAAATTAAAAGTATTTATATATATATATATATAATATATGTATATATACATATATATATGTAACATCATACAAAATGTATTTTAATATTAATATAAGTACATATATTAATATTAAAATACACTTAGAATGACGTAACATATATAATATGTACATATATTATATATATATAAAAGATATATACACATATATTATATATATATACGTATAATTACAATAATAAATAAAATAATAAAATAAATATATTGAAACGAAATTTAATATAAATTATATATTCATATGTAATTTCATTCTAACTGTATTTTGTTATTAATATATATATATTGGTAACAAAATACACTTAGAATGACATTTTATATATATCTATCTAAATATAAAATACAAATAACCGCAAATATATATGTATATAGATAAATACATATAATTACATAAAAGATTACATTAGTATACACGCAGAATTTAAATACCTATAAATGCATATATATTAAAATTCTACGTTTATATTTAAGTAATCTTTTAACATAATTATGTGATTTTAAACATGCCACTGTAATACCTATCCTGAAAAAAACATCTCTTGACCCATCCTCCCTTTCTAACTATCGTCCCATATCCCTGCTCCCTTTCTCATCAAAGCTTTTGGAAAGACTTGTCTTTACCCGTGTGTCTCGCTTCCTTAATTCCAACTCTCTCCTTGACCCTCTTCAGTCTGGCTTCCGCCCTCTCTACTCTACTGAGACTGCTCTTATCAAAGTGACTAATGACCTAATCTCCGCTAAATCCAAAGGTCACTACTCCATATTAATTCTCATTGACCTCTCTGCTGCCTTTGACACCGTTGATCATGCTCTCCTCCTTCAAACTCTTCAGTCGCTCGGTCTCTATGACTCTGTCCTCTCTTGGTTTTCCTCCTATCTCTCCCAACGCTCATTCAGTGTCTCCTTTTCCAAGGATACCTCCACCCCTCGTCCTGTCTCGGTTGGAGTTGCCCAAGGGTCTGTCCTTGATCCCCTTCTATTTTC